ACCGTCTAGGTGGTGGCAACCACTTAGAGAAACAAGCGAAATCCACAGCACAACACGAATGCCAAGTGCCTCTAGATGCAATCACTCAAGCAATGCACTTGGATTCTCTCCCAATCTCACAATGATGATGGATCAATAATAGAGATGAGTGGGAGGGCTTTGGCTAAGCTCACAAGGTTGCTATGTCAATGAAAAATGGCCAAGGGTTGGAGCTTCAACCGTCTATGGGGCTTAAATAGAAGCCCCCACAGAATAAAGCCGTTATACCCCTTCACTAGGCAAAACACGCTCTGACCGGACGCTCCGGTCAGATTGACCGGACCCTGGACTCAGCGTCCGGTCCACTGATTTATGCCATGTGTCACTCTGAGTTAAAACTGAACCGTCAGATCTCAACGGCTAAGTGTTGACCGGACGCTCCGGCTAAACTGACTGGACGCTGGAACCTCAGCGTCCGGTCGAGTACAGTAAGGGTCCAAATCTGATTTTCCTTGACCGTACGCGTCCGGTCCACCTCGACTGGACACAGCCCAGCGTCCGATGGTATACCCTAGCTACTGTACCACCAAGTCAGCGTGACCGGACGTAGGCAGTCAGCGTCCGATGCATTCAGATTCAGCGTCCGGTCACTTGACCGACACTGGCATCTCCTGTCTTCTTCCCCCTTGCTCAAATGTGCTAACCACCAAGTGTAACACCTTATGCACATGTGTTAGCATATTTTCTCAAACATTTTCAAGGGTGTTAGTGATTCACTAGATCCTAAATGCATATGCAATGAGTTTAGAACATCTAGTGGCACTTTGACAACCGCATTTCGATACGAGTTTCACTCCTCTTAATAGTACGATTATCTATCCTAAATGTGATCACACTCTCTAAGTGTCTTGATCACTCAAACAAAATGGCTCCTATCATTTTACCTTTGCCTTGAGCCTTTTGTTTTTCTCTTTCTTCTTTTCCAAGATTAAGCACTTGATCATCAACATTCCAGCACTATTGTCATGATCTTCAGCATTGCTTTATCTCTTGGAGTAGTGCTACCTATCTCATAATCACTTAGATAAACTAGGTTAGCACTTAGAGTTTCATCAATTAACCAAAACCAAACTAGAGCTTTCAACGGTGGTGACTGCATCTCGCCGGAGGCGGCAGTTGCGTCTGCACCCACCCTGGTTGGCGTGTGGTACTGTTGCTTCGTGACTTGAGCAACGGCGTTGGCAGCCGCAACGAAGGTGGGGCCTCTGCACTCAGCCCGCGGCAGCCCCCGTGTGCCAGGCCAAACTCCGGCGTCTGGTGGCCACGCCCCGCTCGCTAGGACGACAGCAGTGGCCGTGCCCGCGAGCCTGGTACCCTATCGTCGTTGGCAGTCAGCACCCGCGGCTGGCGACTCGGCTGCCAGCGACCTCCGTGCCGTGGCCTCGCGCCGCGGCTGGTGCCCCCGAAGCTATACCACATTAAGAATGCTAGGAATCAAAAGAGCAATCCTCACATCCACGTACCAAAAATTCTAAACCTAATCATTTAGAATGTCTTATATTTGCATCATATTGCAAAGAATCTGTCAGAAACATTTACTGATAATAAGGGTGTCACAAAATCCTCTTATCCTACTTATAATACATCTGAAAGAATGGAGGTACCAATTAAAACCATTCAACTCCCACTTCCAAAGAAGAGGGGGAGAAGTACGGCCGCTCCTAAGGATAATGCTCCAAGTAAGCGTCCGAGGATACCGAGGACAATATCCTCTAAATCAGTAAATTCAAGCCAACCTCAAGTTGGTAGACACCCAAAATGGATGAGCATCCAAAACCCGGATCAAAATCCACTTGGATCAACGGTGCACCTAAATTCTGAACCTAGGACATTGGAACACCCTGACTGCATATGGGAAATGACTCGGAGTAAAAAAGGGTTAACATTTTCACATGCTATATTGATTTCAAGAACCGAATCAATCATTTAAAGACTACAAATTGTTGCGGCATATACTCCTCAAAGATTGCTTTTTTACCTTACTGGATCCAAACAAAAAGTCCTAGACAGGGTGTCTTCATACTCAAATTTGGTCAAACTAAAAGGTGGCAATTAAGGAGATTGCTCTTGTTCAATGATGAGAAGTATTACCACGGTAATATGTTCTCTCACAGAGTTTCTTTTCAAAAGCAAGGTGGTGAACAATGAGAGCTTGTAGCATATTGTTTCACGCAGAGACCCAGCATAGCATACCCCATGGTATGTATGAAAATGAAGTTTTTCAAATTCAATAATTGGCAGATCAAATGAATTTGATAGATTCGGATGTATAAGTCCCAATGGACTTCACATTCTGAATCTAAATACAAATCGCAACATACATTGTGTATAATTAAGCATGATTGCGTATATTGGTTATTTTGATATCATCATGATACAGAAATAATTATACAATCATTTGATATACAAATTCCATCATGTGGATTCGAGATGGAGGATTTGGGTAAGACCAAATATTGCCTAGGCTTACAACTTGAGCACCGTCCCTCAGGAATTTTAGTGCATCAATCAGCCTATATGCAGAAAATATTGGAGAAATTCAATATAGACAAATCAAATCATAACAAAACTCCGATGGTTGTTCGTTCTTTAGAAATAGAGAAAGATCCATTTAGACCATGAGATATTGGAGAAAAGATATTGAGACCAAGGTTCCATATCTTAGTGTCATTGGAGCACTTATGTATCTTACAAATTGCAGCAGGCCTAATATCGCATTTGCAGTGAACATACTAGTTAGACATAGTACAAATCTAACTCACCGTCATTAGACGGGAGCGAAGCATATCCTCATATATCTTAGTGGTACAAAGGATCTTAGTTTATTCTTTAAGAGAAATCATGATCCCAATATGATTGGATACACGGATGCTGGCTACTTATCTGGTCCTCATCCCAAACTGGATTTGTATTCTTCCATGAAGGTACGGCTATTTCATGAAGTCTTCTAAATAAACTCTGACGGCGACATCTACTAATCATTCTGAAATTATTGCTCTATACGAGGCATCACATGAATGTTTATGACTTCGCAGAATGATTAACCACATACAACAGGCATGTGGTATTGGTTCGATTAAATCACCTACAATTATCTATGAAGATAATTTCGCTTATGTTACATAGATGCAAACATGTTACATAAAGAGTAATGTCGCTAAGGACATTGCCCCTAAGCTGTTTTATCCCCATAAGCTACCAGAAAGCGGGGAAATAAACATCTTGCAAATCACCGCATGCGATAATCTCACTAACCTATTTACTAAGTCCTTACCAACATCTATGTTTCAAAATTTGTACATAAGATGGGTATGCGACGACTTTGAAATTTGCAAGGATCAGGGGGAGACATCTCTTAGATGCTAACATGTACCAACATCATATTATACTCTTTTCTTTCACAAGTTTTACTCACAAGGTTTCTTGTTAAAGTTTTTAATGAGGTAATATTAACATAAGCATGTGTCATATTTTCTATTTTTTCCATCAGGGTTTTTTATGGGAAATATCAAAGACACATATTGCCCTCATAGCTCATTTATGGTTTTTCCCTGAAAATGTTTTTCATGTGAGTTATCCAAGAGGCAATACCAATAATATATCGTCACATTTTCTCCTAATTTTTCCACTAGATTTTTACAAGAGTTTTAGCGACATATCATTTTATATTACTCCTCATATTTTTCCTGAAAGGTTTTTGGCGGAGTTATCTTTATGTCGTATCTCTAATATTTTTTCTCATTGGGGTTTTTAATGGGATACTAATGATATAGTGGTTTATTTAAATCACAAATAAATATGCTATTTTCTCTTTATTTTTCAATAAGGTTTAAAGGAGTTTTTATTGTATATCATATATTCCTCAGATTTTTCCCATAGGTTTTTTCGATGAATTTTAGCTTACAGCTGCATGGATCTCAAGAAAGATTCGATCAAAGGGGAGTGTTGTGAAACGACACCTATACGCGAACGGACGTCTACAGACGAACAGGCGTCTCTTCACGAGTGATCTCATCCATCAAGCGCATGATTAGTGGATAGGATTAGACAGTTAATTTTAGTTCTAAAGGACATGTTTTTTGAGAACAGTCGTGTCCCTTCGTGACATCCCTCCACTTGTATAAATATATTTTCGAGATCAATAAAAACAACAGTTCTCCCGAATGTAAATGAACAAGATTTGGGAAGTGGCTACATAAAATGGATGGTCCACTTTTCAGACGCTGGAGAAAAAGTGCACCAACAATGAGAAAAGCAAAGGATCACTCCGTGTAGCAAAGCGTTGACAAATTGACAGACAAATGAACAACTTTACACATACTGTTCCAAACAGGGATTAATTCCGTTGTCTTACTACATGATCAGCCAAAAGAAAAGAAACGCTATTAATACCTCTGTAACAAATAAAATAACCTGAACTTCACACAGACAGGAACTGAACTCAACCGAACTAAGCCTAACTTCTGACTTGGCCAAAGAAAGAAAAACAGCAGGACACCTGAACTTTCAAACAAAATAGTACGTAATTCACAAAATGGAGAAAATCGTTGCTCTGTATGGCACAAGAAAACTAGATTTCCGTACCAACATATAATCCTAATACAAGCACCTGATTATGGATTATAGGTACGACAGCAACTGCATCTCCTAATAAAGCTCTCCCATTTACATATATCTAGACATCTAGTTTAGTTAACAGATGCAGGATATGAAGCAGCCAACTTAAAGGTGGGAATCAACTCGGTAAGCAACAAAGCATAACTACTTTGGTTTTCAACCAGAAGCCATAGAAGTCTTAATTCACAGTTCAAAACTTGAACAATCACATCAGCAAATGCATCAGGAGCAAGGATCTGGATGTCATAAAAATACCATATGCAGCATGTAACGACCAACACCAAGTGCAGCTTGAAAGTAAGCAGTCTTCTACTTGCCTCGATATTCTTTTAGGCTAGCCTGTTCTATTCTGAAATCAGACACATGCTACTTTCATAATCTGCCCACATCCTCAGTGCAATACCATCTCTCAAAGCATTACCCATGTCACATTCACTGTTGAAAGCTGAAACATCGTAACCATATGTATCATCACCACTAGGAAGATTCACTGTTTTATGGGAAGCAAATGGGATTGTTTGCTCACATAACAACTCTTCATTACCTCCTTGTCTCTGAATTATGTTATGTAGAACAACTGCTGCTGAAGGAATTTTCAGTTGAGTGTCTTTTCGGTATGATGTTGCGACATTTAGAATTGGAAATCGCATCTTCAGTAGGCCTACAGCACGCTTAATATGTCTGTGCAGCTGTGCATGACGAAGATTGAAAAGCTCTCTGTAGTCCATTGGTTGGAAATTGCTCTCATCTTGCTCTTCAGTATGGTAAGGGACTTCATTATAAGGAGCAAGAAAAGATGGCGTGTTCGCATAACCCCCGTCAACCAGGTAGTACTTTCCTCTTGGGACTTCAAATCCAGATTCTATAGCAGAGTATAAGACTGCTGCATCAGATGCAGACCCTTCTCGGCTACAAGAAACATAGACGAAATTCAAATCAAAATCACAAGCAAGCATCACGTTTTGTGAAAGGGATTCTTGTCTATTTCGGTATGGAGCTGCTTCGCTGTCTGATATTGTCATAGGGACATGAATTCCATCAATTGCTCCAATACAGTTCTGCAAGGGAAAATAAACCCTCAAGGTAACAGAAAAGGGCAGAAAATCCTAATGTATATGACCAAAAGTTACACTGACCTCAAAGTAAGGCCCATAACGTGTATCAGATGATATTTTCCGGTGGGCTTGAATTAAAGGTGGCTTGACGAATTCAGCAGTCATTGGTGTGACTGCATCAAAGCATACTTTGATATGTCTATGAATAGTTTCTGTACTGTACTTGAATCTGTCATTTAGTTTCTGAAAACTAGCATTTCGAGATAGCATGTAAATAAACATGCCAATTTTCTCTTCCACAGAAACACCTCTGGTATTTCTCAAAAGATCATTTGACCTCAGATAGCGCGAAAGTTCTAGGAGAATATGTGGCTCCACACGAAGTTTATCATAGCCTTGGCCTCGGTCATCTTCGAGCACTTTACAAATCCATTCTGCATCATTAAACTTTGATACTTGACTTGGAGTTTCAATTGCAGTACCATCACTAACCATCGATCTTTGATCCAGAGTTCCAATTCCAGTAGATGCTAGATATAGTGCTGGTAAGATGAATAGCATCAAGTCATCATCTTCTTCTTCTTCTTCTTCGTCCTCCTCAAACTCACTAGAGTCTTCTGGATCCATCTTCTCTAAATGTAGTAGCAATGAAGAAAAACCAAATTTAAATGAAGGATTGCAGGCAAAATATGCATGTTAAAAGAACAAGTGCAGTTTTGAAAAGGAAAATTAGGCTGAAATTGAAAAGAATCAGTGTTACTAGAATGCTATCAGGGATTTCCATCATTGCTAAAGTAAGCACAGGTGTTAGAATTGCACATCGGTAAAATACCGCTTTTACAAGTAATTTTCACGCGAAAAATAGTTAAAACCTCATATCTGACATGCACAATTTATGATACAGGGCACAAATTGGGTTCCTATGTTCTCTCTCCCTTCCTGCCTTATTAGACATGGTTTGCACAACCCAAACCTCTTGTAAGATATGTGAACATAGGGGCATACGGCAAGGTACAGGGAGAAATAAGGACAAGGGTGCATTTCAGGGTTTCGAATAAAAGGTAAAATGCCAAATAATCCTTCGTAATAGCTATTTCATAGTTCGAGGCAAAAAACTGTGCGTTCCTTTTTTTTTTTCCTGCCAATAAGTTAGTGCAATCCTTAGCACAATGGCAAAAAGCATTAGCAACAACAATCTGCCATCTAACGGACATCGGACGATACAGCGGAATGGATGAGATGCAAACTAGCAATACGGTGAGTAGCAATGAATACACAGCAAAAAACTAAAGCGAATCGAGCAATAGTTTCAAACATCCCCAACCGGAAGCAGGAGGGGGGGATTTGGTGGTTGGGAACTTGGGATCGTGGAGGCGTGGTGAGCTACCTGAGATGGCCGACCGAAGCCGCCTTTTCCGGGAGGAAGCGAAGGTGATGAAGTTGGGACTTCCCAGCGAGCCTTCGCCGAAGGCGAGGGATCGACACGGCCGACGGGGAAGGCAGAAGCCTACACGCCGGCGACGAGCCGACGACGGATGGCACGCGGCGCAAACCTTTGCGGCTTGCAACCAAGACAAGACGAGGATGAATGAAGCAGCAGCGGCTACAGAAAGCCCAATAAGACCTACAGGTGCGGCCCACGGCCCACATTTGTAATGGGCCTAGTTCATCTTTGTAACCAAGTCAACGGCGCTCACTGCACTGTAGCACGACAAGTCAAACTCGCCTTCACTCTGATGCCGTCCGCCGATCCCCACCCAAATCTCTCTCGGATTCAGATCTCCCCTTGCCCAATCCCCATCCATCGGCGCCGACTAATGACAAGCGAAATGCACGCTATCCTCGCCGGGATCCCGCAGTCCCTCCGGCCCGCGGTGCTGATCGCCTCGACGTGCGCGTTGCTCCTCCTCGCCACCGCGCTGCTCCTCCCGCGCGCCCCGACCCCAGCGCGCGCTGCTGACCACTGACGCCGACGCCGACGCAGTCCGCCTCGACGCGCGCGTCACCCGAAGGAACGGCAACGAGGTGCTGTGGCAGCTACCGCCCCCGTCGTCCCCACTGCGAGCCGCGTTGTTCGCGGCGCCCGGGTGCACCATCCGCGCCACCGACTTCTTCGACGCCTCCCCGGGCTGCCCGCGCTGCACGGGGCTCCCCGAGGAGCGCCGCTTCACCCGCGCCGCGCTCAGCCGCGGGTACGCCGTCCTCGCCGTCTCCAGCCGCGCCGAGTGCTGGTCCCTCGACGACGCCGGCGGCGGCGGCGGGGAGGATGGCAGCGAGCTCGCGGCCGTCCAGTCCATCATCAAGTGGTGGACCACAGAGAAGTACCCTCAGCTCGCGGGCCTTCCGCTCGTCGGCATCGGCGCGTCCTCGGGCGGGTACTTCCTCTCCGCGCTCGCGGCCAGGGTTAAGTTCAGCAGCGTCGCCGTCATGATCGCGGAGGGCGTGTACGGGGCCATGGCCGAGATCCCCACCGGGTATCCGCCGGCGCTGTTCGTGCACATGCCCAAGGACACCGAGAGGGCGCAGTTGGTTGCGGACAGCATGGACAAGCTCAGGGAGAAGCACGTCGACGTGCGGGAGATCCGGTGCGGTGACTTCGCCGTGAGCGCGGAGTTCCTGGCGGGGAGGGTGCCGGGGCTGAGCCGGGCCTTCGCCGACGCGCTGGTGGACGTGCTTCGCCGGAAGGGATTCGTGGATGAGAAGGGGTTCCTGAAGAAGGACGGGAGGAGAACACTGTGGAAGGAGGCGGCTGAGGAGGCTAAGGTGCTGCCTGAGGGGTTCGGTCTGGAGAGGCATGTCACCGAGGAGCTTAATGTTGCCTATGCGTACCATGAGTTCACCAGCCTGAAGAATACTGAAATCTTCCAATGGTTTGAGTCCCATATGAATCATTAGGACTGAGGCCCAACTGGCTTGCATACCATAGTGAACCGAGTAATTTGCTGATTATTTGAAGATTAACTTTTGACCATGATCTACAATAGCGGAAAGTTTGAGCAAGACCTTGTGTAAGACTTCTGCTCACAGCTTATAGTTTACAACTTCCACTCGTAGTTTCTGCCTTTCTGGTATGATTGTATTTCTCTTTACTACTTCTTAGTGCAAATTATGGAAAGCAAGAAAATGTGTTGATTACACTCATTATTGTTGTACTTGTACTATTTTTCTTTTGGAAAGCAATAAAATGTGTAAATCTGGGATTCCAGACTTCCTTTGGACTTGCATAGATTGGCATATCATGTGATAGTGATTAGTGTCTGAATCTTTAATCTGATTTGGCTAAGTGTAGAACATATTAAAAACCTCACTATGTACGACATCTTGTATTTCAAGGGATTAGGGGTGTATTTTATCATATGAGAAAGACCCTGGTTAATCAAATACTCGGTCACTACTCAGCAGAGCACTTCCTCTGGGACTTTTTTTTCTCTAGGACTTTCAAGGGATGTATGACATCTTGTATTGCTTGGTTCTAATAAATAGTATGAAGTAGTCCTAACCAACAGCCATGCTCTATACCCTGAAATATCCTGCATATAAGCGCCTCATTTCATTGCTAACTAACAATCCTTGCATTCATGATTCATCACCAAAATGCGCATTAAGTTGGTTATCAAAAGTTATATGTGCAATCTGTGATAAAATAACTTTGACGCTGAATCATCCCATTCCCATGTGACTTATGGAGTAGTTAGGCCTCATACACTATGAACAAGCACCCACAGTGCATTTTTTTTCTCAATGCTTTTAACCAATTTGTTTTTGCCTTTAATATAATTAATTTAAACATACATCTATACAATAATTCAGGATGTACTAGAATGGCTGGTAGAGCCGTAGAGGATTAGAAGTAGAACTGAGTTCTTCAGCATCAATTCACCACAGGATAATTTTGAGATGTTTGCTTGAAGTGTTTTGCCTCTAGTAACTTGGTACTGGGTTTACTTTCAAAGATGTTTGAAGAAAACAGAGCAGCAGATTAATATATTCATTCGACATAAAGGCCTTTGCTGCTTGGTGAATTAGCTAACCGCTGTATATTTGGATTTTGGAACCTGACATCGAATATTAGGCTGATAGGCTGGTAATGGCTCCTATGACCTGCCACCACTTGCAACTGACTAGTAAGACACATTTGTGATTCCCCAACTTGCATGATTGGTTAATATCTGTTCGAAAAAAATGTTATTTGAAGTGACGATTACATTGTTGACTTACTAATAGGTTCATTGCTGATCTAAGGTAATTATTTATCAGTGTATAGACAACAAAACAGTCAGTGGTCAAGAAAATCTAGTATTATAAAAACTGGGGCAGGACTGTTCTTCTGATCAAACTTACTTACCCTGCTATGCTGTCCTGATTACTGTATACTTAACCGTGGTAACTAGGAAGAAGTTTCAATTCGAGCCCTGATTACAGCAAAGGGTTTACAATATCCAGCATATCTCAGACAGTGGTAGTACATGAAAAAAAATATCAATATATATTAGGTGTTTAATTTACATTACAATCCAACAAATTATAAGAAATTCGTCAACATGTTTTAGAGGTGATATTACACTACGAACCCAAAATAGAAAACATGAAATTCATCAAGGATAAGAAACAAAGGATAACATCAATTGAAGAAAACAATTTAGGCAGGAGACAGGTCTAGTAGTGGCATTCGTTTGCCTTGAAAGTCCCAGCCTAGGAGGAAGCAGCACCATCGAAGGTCACAGCCACCACAATGCAATTCTCCACCTGCTGGGTGGTAAAAGGAAACTTCTTGTTCACGATGGAATTGAGGTACTGAGCTGCTCCCTCACGTAGAAGGGCACCGACACCATCAGTTCTGGTGTTTCAGAGTTCATCATGGAGATTCTCAAGCTTCTTGCCAATGATCAAGCTGTAGGCAGCACCAAATGTCTTGCCAATGTTGCCAAGGGATCCAATGACTGCAATGATCATGTCCAGGTGGCTTTTCCAGTAGCTGTAATTTTGATGGCAGAACACAGTAAACAATCATTTTAAGCATATTTGATTTGTGATAACGAATACTTACAAATTTGAATGTATACTCATATGGGCTCTTACTCACAGGACTCAACAAATCTGTGCTTCGGAATTTCTTGGACCCCATAGGAAGATGTGCTTGGGGTACTTGGTGTAAAGCTGTAAGATGGTGCCGGTGTTGTGCCATAAGACGGTGTTGGCCTGTAGCCACCTCCTGACCCTGGGAGCCACCATCTGGTAATAAGATACATAATTTAGCAACTGTTATTTCCAAGGATACATGAAGTATTTGTTGCCACTTGCTCTGCTTGGATAATACTGATTGCTGACATGCTGAGAAAGTTTGCAGTTTATGTCCAACATAATTTATCTTGTATATAGCGCTAGCAATATTTGTGCAGTACAATACAACATTTGGCAGTATTAAAAAGGCTGTATAACTGTATTGTTACTACTAAAAAAGGCTTATCAAATAAATATATGCTACACAAAGGGAATAAGGTCAGAATGTACAGTTCGGAGCAGAAGAATAGGTATTCTGCTCAGACAAGCTGCATGAGCTGGTGACAAACCCCACCAGAACAGCACTGATCAAGAACTTTGCTGCTCATCTTTGCTCTCAACGTCTCCATAGTACAGACAAGACTAATGAATATGTGGCTGAACTGGCCAAGAAGCTTGAATTGATGAATTGAGTTCCTTTCGGGCATATTTAGGTCTTGTTTAAATCCAGAGTGTAAAGTTTTGGGGTGTCACATGGGGGTGTCGCATGGGGTGTTCGGATACTAATAAAAAAACAAATTACAGAATCCGTCAGTAATCCACGAGACGAATTTATTAAGCCTAATTAATCCGTCATTAGCACATGTATTACTGTAGCACCACGTTGTCAAAACATGGACTAATTAGGCTTAAAAGATTCGTCTCGCAAATTAGTCGCAAACTGTGCAATTAGTTATTTTTTAGTCTATATTTAATACTCCATGCATGTGTCCAAATATTTGATGGGACATGGAGTAAACTTTAGGGGAGAAACTAAACAAGGCCTTATATAATACGAGCAGTGATCTACAGTCATTGCTTACTACACTGTTAGTGGTTGGCCATCATTAAATGATCTTGGTTTGTTCATCTTGCTGCGGTGGTGATCTGATTGCTTTGTCAACTAGCACAGTAAAGAGCTTACACTGAGTATTTTAATCCAAATCCTTTTCTACAAATATTGTGCAGAAAAAGAAACTGATGATATGGTACCTTAGAGCTTCCCTAGATTTCGGACAGGCTTATACATAATTAATTGTTGGTTTGTCCTGTAAGAGCATTCACTTATTTCTTTGCTAAATGCTAACTATCAATCATTACATTAATCTGCAAAATGTGCATTAAGTCAGTAAATTTATATGTGCCATTTGTGATAAAGCAACTTTGAACTGAATCATCCCCATGTGACTTGAGATGTTGAATGGTTAGTCGTCATGCACCATGAACATGCATAAGCACCCACAGTGCATTTTTTCTCAACTTTTATTAGCTAACGTGTTTCAGGCCTTATTAATAATTGCATGATCACCCTTTGTTTCAAAATGGAAACTCTCAATGTTTGTTAGTTACCCATTTTTCTCGAACACAGGAGATTTTTTTAAAAAAAAAAAAGCTAACTCGCAGGAGAACTGCATATCTTTGTTTTAAAGAGCAACAAAGATCGGACCCATACAACAGAACTCCTAGTATGTCAGTAGAGAAATATGAGTATAGCTACTTCATCATCCACCATGATCCACTAGACGGAACCTGTCATTAGTTCTAGCCCTTTTTTTCAGTGAGATATTTAAGGCCTTTCTGTGTATGGAGTTTAAGACAGTGAAAATTGTAGCTAGTATTTCTTTATCGATCTATAGACAGCAAAAGAGTTAGCAGTCATGAACATCTAATACTGAAATACTGGAGTAGGACTGTTTTTTCTGTTCAAAGTTCAAGCTTGATTGCCCTGCTATGCTGATCTGTCCTGAGTTGTTTACAACTATTGGAAGAAGTTGTGACCCTGCAACAGCAAAGTGTTTACAATTATACCTTAAATTCATCACTATGCATTAGACATGATATTACATGAGAATTCAACAAACACAAGACATTCATCAACATATCTTAGAGGTGATATTACACCGCAAACCAAAAAAATACAGGAAAATTCATCAAGGGGAAGAAATGACGGGTAGTATCAATTGAGAGAAATAGTCTAGGCAGGAGATATCCATGTCCTAGTAGTGGTATTCATTTGCCTTCTTGAAGATCCCAGCCTGGGCAGAAGCAGCACCATCAGAGGTCACAGCCACAACAATGCAATCCTTCACCTGCTGTGTGGTGAAAGGAAACTTCTTGTTGACAATGGAGTTGAGGTAAGCAGCTGCTCCCTCACGTAGTAGGGCACCAACACCATCGGTTCTGGTGTTTGAGAGTGCATCATGCAGATTCTCAAGCTTCTTGTCGGGCAGCACCAAAAGTTTTGCCAATGTTGCCAAGGGATCCAACAACTGCAACGATCATGTCTGTGTGGCTCTTCCAGTAGCTGCAGTTTCGATACCAAAACATCAGTTTGAGAATACTTGCTTAATTGCTTTGTGATATTTGATAGTTAACATGTATATATTAGTATGGAATCTTACTCGCAGGATCCAACAAATCCATGCTTCGGAATTTCAGGGACCCCATAAGTAGGTGTACTTGGGGTGCTTGGTGTTGTGCCGTAAGATGGTGTTGGCGTTGGCGTTGGCGTTGGCTCGTGGCCTCCTCCTGACCCTGTACGTAGGAGTTGGGGAGCCACCATCTGGTAATAAGATGTAGTTCAGCAGCTGTTATTTCAAGGGATGCATAATGTTGCTGACTGTTTTTACTTTCCACAACTCTGATGTTCAGAAATCAGAAAGCATGCAGTTTATGTTTGAGAAACTAATATTTTTGGTAATTGCATTATCTAGCAGGTGCTGTATGCTGTGTTAGCTAAAATATTGGCATCCATGATTCGTGAAGTACTTGGAATGCAGCATTTCACTAATTCACATTATTGAAAAGGCCTGCTAAGAAAGCTGATCAGATAAATATATGTTGGACAAAGGGAATAGGGTCAGAGCAAATTATTACAGCTGGGAGCAGAAGAGTAGGTCTTCTGCTCAGACAACCCTCCCAGGCTCCTGCATGAGCTCAGGGTGACGAGCCCCACCAGGACAGCACTGACAAGAAGAACCCTGCTGCTGCTCATCTTGCTCTCAAAAAATCGTCTACAGACAAGACTGAATATGTGGCTGAACTGGCCGAGAAGCTTGAGATGCTTGTGTTGTTGAACTTAGCTCCTTTCGGGCTCATATATATATACACATGAGTGAGGGGTGTTGTACAGTTACAATTATGCTAATGCATGCAAAGTTCTGTACATGTTCATCACACTGCTTAGGTGGTTGGCCACCATTTAATGATCTTGGTTTGTCCAGATTGTCGAGGCAATGAAGTCCTTACATTGTGAGTATTTTAAACACAAATATTTTTCTTCAAAATCTTGTGCCAAAAAATTGAAAGGAAACTAAAGTTGGGGTAGCTTAGAGCTTCTCTGGATCTTGGAATGGCTTCCGTTGGACAGAGTGTGAATTCTTCCCTACAGTCCTGCAGAGTTAGGGCGCGTTTAGTTCCCAAAATTTTTTAAGTTTGGCTACTATAGCACTTTCGTTTGTATTTAATAATTAGTATCTAATTATGAACTAATTAGGCTCGAAAGTTTTTGTCTCGCTATTTCTCACCTAACTGAGCTTAGACTGAGTTTTTTAATCCACATCCTTTTCTACAAATATTGTGCAGAAAAGAAGAATGATGATATGACACTTTAGGTTGAAAATTTTTAGGACCTAAACAGGCCCTTAATTGGAATCGGCGCCTGCCACCTACTCTGTGCACTTACTGACTTACCTATACCTCGAGCTGGATCCGATGATCTTATCTCTGAATTGAAATACTGAATCTGTCAAACTCATTAATGGAAACATGAGAGATTCCATAAAACTTGGGCCACGTTTAGTTTGGTGTCCGATTCGGCGCCGCCAAATTCAGGGAGGTACTGTGCATTCCGTTTTTATTTGGTAATAATTATTCAAACATTGACTAATTAGACTCAAAACGTTCGTCTCGTGAAGTACAACCAAACTGTGAAATTCAATTTTGATTTGGTCAATTTTAGTCGAACACAGGATTTTTTATAAAAAAAAAGTTTGATGTGATTTGCAATCTTCTTTTTTAAAGAGCGACAAAGAGATCAAAGTTGAAAATTTGGTGGAACTAAACAGAGCCTTGAGTTTCTTCTGATACTGTGGAGCAGCGGAAGCTTTTTGTGGTCCAACTGGAATGCACAGGATTTGGCCAGATGTCACTAGTCTAGTATCTTCAGAGGTGTACCTGGTAATTTCTTTGGAACCGATTTTCGCTGTAGTTTTATTGTTGCATGGTCAAATATGCTCTCTCAGAATAGTGCTGCCTAGTCCTCTGCGTTTCTGTTCATTATTCTGATTTCATCTGCCTGTTCACGTGAGAACTTCCTGAAACATTTACAACAATTGGAAGAAGTTTGTTGCAACAGCAAAGGTTTCTAAATCCAGCATACAATGATTTTCATCTAATAAAAATCATTAGACCATGATATCAAACCCAGAGACCAACAAAACCAAGACATTCAGGACCGCAGTAGTTGCAGATGAAAGCACAACTGGATGAGAAGTCAAATTGATTTGACACCAGATTGCCTTGCAATCAGGGAGGTAGCCAAGCACAAGGACGCGGCGAGGCCAGCAGCAGCTGTACTTGCGTGAAAGCTGATTGGATTGGCGCTGAGAAAGGGATTGAGATGCCATGTGATCTCTCGTGGATCTGCCGGAGCCTGACAGAGAGTTTACAGGGACGGGGACAGACGGGCGTTAGCTGCTGCTGCTGCTGCTCTGTGGCCGCCAGTTTTGAACGGTGCAGTTCCTTCGGTGAGTGGGGTGAACGCCTGGAGGGCAGCTTATTTCAGCTGAAGTTCATGTTGGGCCTTGTTTAGTTACCTAAAATCTAAATTTTGGCACTATGCAAAACTGAAGATCATGTCGTCATATCAAATTTCCAGTACATGCAGTTTCGATACTAAATGTTCAGTTTGAAATCAAAAACTAATTAATTGCTTTGTGATATTTGATAGTTAACATGTATATATATTAGTATGGAATCGTTTTGAGATCCTAATTAGTCAACGATTTGGATAATTATTACCAAATACAAACGAAATGCTTGGTGTTGTGCACTATATTAATTGGTGTTGTGCGTAAGCCAACTTTGGGCAACTAAACAAGGGCTTGGTGATCCTACGGATGGGGTGTAGTTTGTCGGTGGTAGGTGGGTCTTGTAGTCCTATTAGTTATTATGAGCCCATTTTGGTAGTTGTGTCATTCAAAGGAGTCATGTAGTGCAAGTCGTCCAAGAACTCCAACAAATAGTGATGGGTATTTGGATTTCGGTGCAAAGGAAAAAGAAGAAGATGTTTTCGATTTGGATGTTTGGTGCACAATACCTGGATCCAAATTCGGGAAACCTAGGCTCATATCACATGATTGAAAAAGGTTAAGAAAGCTGTCAGATAAATTATGTTGGTTCAAAAGGTTTATGTGAGAGAGAATGTAATTACAGCTGAAAAGAAGAGTAGGTCTTCTGCTCAGACAACCTCCCAGGCTCCTGCATGAGCTCAGGGTGTTTGTTTGATCTATGAGGCTAAAGTTTAGCTCACTCTTTTCCTTTTAGCCCTCATGGTCCAAACAGGAGGGTTAAAAGTAAGGGCTAAACTTTAGCCGATCCCTTTTCTATTAGCCTCTCCAAAATGGGCTAAAGAGGGCTAAAAGTAGTCCCTTTATAGTAAAAGACGCATATTACCCCCACCCACCCCTTTCAGTCCCGTGCATGAATATTAATTAGGAGCAAATGAGTCATTGTAGGATACATGGCTAATCTTTAGCCCCTGGACCCAAACAGCACTAATCTTTAGCCTCTTCCTTCTAAGGGCTAATCTTTAGCCCTGGGCTAAAGTTTAGCCTCATGATCCAAACATGGCCCTAGTTTAGATTAGAAATAAAATTTAGAGCAATGTGCCTCTGTGCAAACAAATGGAAACTAGGAAATGTAATGCTTTCCTAAGACTGTTTTCAATAGTTGATCTATATGGGCACCCAAACCTAAAATAGGTAGCAGGAGATCCAAAATCAGCCTCCAACAGAGTATTTATACGGGAGACCCATTTTGGGTTGTCTGAGAGGCACAACCCAAATATGAGTATCCTCTCTCTTGGAAATCTATTTGCAGAAAGAATTCTCTTTTGAGTTCTGTTGTTGGAGATGATGTCGAATATGTATTGAATCCTTTGATTGTAGCGATACCCAAACGTTGAATGGGTCTCGTAATTTAGGTGCTATTGTTGGAAATAGTCCGATTCCTTTCTAGGGTCTCCTCTGACTCGAGCCCCTTTGAGCAGAATGAGGCTTCAAGCTTGGTGTAGGTTTTTCTGCGTCCTTTCCTTTTGGGGACTCTAGTTTATCTAGCATCCAGTTCGTTAGAGCGTGTGTTAATATATTGTATGCGGTCAGTCCAGGCTCTACGGATGCAAAAACATCGTTTGATTGATTGGTTGGCAAGACGAGGGAGCATATCAGGCCAAGAGGATGCAAAAGCGACTGCTAGGCCTGGCTCGCTGGATACCAAAACAATCCATGTTTTAGCGTTAGCGTGTGTCGATCTAGGGAACCATACATAGTTGCTACAAGAACGCAACAAATAGTGAGTGTCCGGATTTCGACGCTCCACCCAAGAAGAAGTGCCATTCACCGATTTGGATGTTTGCTGTGCCATTCCTACCTTGCTCTCAAATTCGGGCCATCCTAGGCTCATATGTTTATCTATAAGGCACACCGGTGACCACACGCCACCAACCCGCCCTCTGCGCCACCGCTGCCCATGATGTCGCCTCCACACTTGCCCTTTGTAAGTACTTTTCCATTAGCCGCTCCAAGCTCCACGCTAAAGGCGACTAACAAGTGACCTTTTATAGCGAGCCTCCATTCGTCCAAGCGGTGAAGAGATTTTTAGTCGCGTGCAAAAAGAGCATTTTGCAAACACATGTTTCAAGTGTTTCAGAGATATGTTGTAAGTGTTTTATATCAGTATTGCAAAAGTAGATCGGGATGTTGCACATGTTGCAATAGCTATACACGTATGTTTCAAGTGTATGTTCCAAATTTGTCATCTATATCAGATGTATGTTGCAAGTGTTTTCATCTGGATGTTGCAAAAGTAGATCTGGATGTTGCATATAAATGCATGTTGCAAGCGTATGTTTCATGTGCTTCAAGTGTTTCATATGTCTGTTGCAAGTGTTTTATCTGGATGTTGCATATGTTTGCAATGACTTTCAAGTGTTTTTTTCACGTGTTTTGCAAGTGTGTTAAGATGTATGTTGCAAGTATTTCAACTATTTTCCAACATATGTTGCAAGTGTTTCATCTAAATATTGTAAAAGTAGATATTGTATTGCACATATTGCAATGGGACCCACTATCGCAGCCACCTACTGGAGCTGCTGGGTGATGTCCGAGCTTGTGCGGGTCCGCTGCTGGGGCGTCGCCGAGCGGGCGCAGACAGGCGCATGAGAAACCGAGCGCAAACATGAGGCCCACATGGTGGGGCACACGAAAAATAGAAGGCGTGGGCTCCTTCTCTTGCGAGCGCGGCACCATCCGACGCTGGCGCCTTAGATCGGACGTCCGGACGCTAGCATGTCCTTAGTTGGTTTGCATGCGCGCAGCTTGGCTGATGGAAGGCCTGGCTCTCATGTGCGAGGCAGGTGAGGCTTGTACGTGAACCAATCCCACGGACACCCATAGTATATATCTTACCAGCATCGGCTATTTACCGACATTGTTGGTATTGGTGTCTCTGATTGACTTTTTTTATGCCTCAACTCTTCGAGTACAAGTTGTAGTACTTGAACTCACGCACAAACTCACACCACCACACGCACACAAAACTCACACACACACACACACACTAGTGCGCAAGTTAGACATATACCTACACGAAGAGGCTGCACGCGGCTGATAGATATCCGAAGTCTTCCGGGCTTCGCACGTGACGGGCACGTCACTCTAACCATTGTGGCGCATCCATGCGTGAGGCTGCAGATACCCAGGACGGCAAATTTATTATGGGGGAAAAACCCCATGAGGCATGCAAGGGTCGATCCCGGGGATCGAACTCACGCCCGACTGCTGGCACACTTGGCGAGCGAGCCAACCGACTTGATAACATCGAGCCTGTTCGCTGGTTGGTTTCTGGACTGATAAGTCCGGCTGGTGCTGGTTTGTTGTGAGAGAAAAACAATATTGGTTGATAAGCCATGGCTAAACCAACAAGAGAAAATTCTGTGAGTCCAAGCTCTCAACAAAACGCTGGAACTCCGCCATCATCAAGCGTTAGCATTTCGCTTTCTAATATTCCTCCCTCTAAGCTTGGCCGGCCGTAGCCCTTGCGCGCACTTGTACACGGGTCGTTCAGCGGGCACATGCACATCCCTTTGATCACAAGTACACTGCTGGCCTACTGCCTAGCTACTTCGTGTTCAGTACTCCAGTAGCCTGTGCTGTCATAGTCTTTCAGCAATGCGCGAATTTAGCGTGTTTGTCCTCCGATCCTCACGGAAACGTAACTCGTTCTCCTAGATCGGTTGATCAATGCACATTGTTGTAGTAGCTAATTAACTACTCCCAGTTAAAGCTGACTACGTACAGGCAAAGGCAACTCTCTGGCATGCAGTCTGTGCAGTGCATAAAACAAGACAGGTCACACACGAGCGAAGAAGCGGAGCACGCACGTAGCATGGCGCCAGGCGGCACCGGCCGAGTGATCTCAACTTCCTTGCTCCTCGCCGTCCTAATCGCCGCCTCGGCGGCCACGAGCTTGTGCGCAGTAGTCGCCGCCACCGCAAACGCACCGGCGAGCGGCGGCGGCTCGGTTCATCAGCATCAGGCTGGCGGTGGCGCTAACCGCGGGATGTCCGCAAGCCGGTTCCTCGGCACTGCGGCTGGCCGTCGCGCGTGCCGCCGTGGGTACCCTGCTGGCGCGTGCTCCGGCTCCGCCGGCGGCGCGGCCGCCGGCGAACGACGGCGGCTCCAGTGCTGCGGCGGCTTTTGCACCGACGTGCTCGCGAGCGCGAGCAACTGCGGCGCGTGCGGAAAGCGGTGCGCGTTCGGCCGGCTGTGCTGCGGAGGGCGGTGCGTCGCGGTGGCTTACGACGCGGAGAATTGTGGCGCGTGTGGCCGGGCCTGTGCCCGCGGGCTCCCGTGCACCTACGGCATGTGCGGCTACGCTTAACCGAGGCGTGTTCAGTGTGCTCCACACGGTGATCTACGCCTAAACGCCGCAAGGCCTGGTTGAGGTACATATATAGACAGCTCGTGTACCGACGATTAGAGAGCACGTACGTACACCAATAATCTCCGCTAGGTGCATTCTATTTTGCAGATGCATGCTGAGACTCACAAAGTGATTGAGGATCCTATATATGCATTATTTCTCTCTCTGTCTCTCTTTTAGCTGTGACTTCTTATATATATATATAATTAAATTTCTACTCGAGGGTTGTATGAACTGTAAATCGGCGTGGTAGTAGCAACTTTGTTATTGTTCATGTCTAAAGATTTCAATCACCAGGTTTTTGTTGATTAAATGCTGGGAAAATGATTTTCTCTGAATAATGCTGCCATTGAGTCATATTTCACTTGACATTTTGGGTTATGAGGCTTTTTATTACCTTCACCCTTCCGGTCATGGAGCTTTCTCATGAAAGATGGGGAATGGAATTCGAGCATCTCTAGTAGAAGGACAGTACTTTGCTGACGATTTTGCCTAAGAAAAGATATTAGAGAACCACCTCAAGTGCCTTTTCGAGGTTTGAGGGAGCTGTCCTGCAATAGAGTAAAAACTCTATATCCAATAACTCTTCTTGCACGTGGGACTCATTTGTCGGCAGAGATGATATATTTTGATACTTTTCTTTGTTTTCTCCTTCCACTCAGCGTGTTCCCTCGTCTCCCGACTTTGTCAATGCCAGATCTCAGATCATGTTGCCACCCCCCCCCACAACATGCCTCCCCCACTCCCTGCAAGCGCATCTCCGCCCCCTCTCTCCATCGGCGTGCCTCCCACAGCCCTACCCCCGCCGCCGTGCTTTGTCTCCTCTCTCCTCTCATTGGCGTGGCTCCCCTAGCACCCCATCGGCAGGCCTCCCTTCGCTAGCGCATGCCTCCTAGAGTCCTAGTCTCTCCCCCTCTATCGACGCCCCTTCTCTCCTCCGCAAGCTTGGCACCGACAATCTCTTCAATCCCTGTGGAGAATGATTTAATTCAAACTAGCTCTTGGCATTTAGTGACCTATACGTGCGAGAAGGAAAAATTGAGAGTTGGGAGTCAACAAAACGCTGGAACTTTAGCCAGCATTAGCTAGCGCGCGCTTTCGATCACAAGCACACTACTGAGCAGCTTCGTGCTTAGTACTCAGTAGTAGCGTGCTGTCACAGTCTTGCACCTTGAAACTTTTGAAGCAATGCGAGAATTTAGCATGTATATATGTCCTCCGATCCTCAAGGAACGTGACCCGTTCTCCCAGATTGGTTGATCAATGCACATTTGCGGTTAAAGTTGACTACTACGTACAGGCAAAGGCAACTCTATGCAGTCTGTGCATGCATAAGAGACAAGAGAGGTCAGAAAGAAACAGGCATAGTGCCGGTTCCTCGCCACGGCGGCTACGAGGAAGGCCGCCCGTGCCGCCCAGACCAGGTACCGTACCCTTTGGCACGTGTGCTACCAACCCACAAGTCAAGCCTAGGCCCAGAAACTCGCTCGTGGAAAAAGACGAGCTCAAGAGCGTTTGGGCCAGACTGGTCTCGTTAGATATTTGGGTCCATGTAATAGCATAGTTATCAATTCACCGCTTTGCAGCTTACTCTCTCCGTTCCAAATTATAAGACGTGTTAGTTTTTCAAGATACATTGATTTTAATTATTATGTATCTAGACATAATGTACATCTAAGTGCATAGAAAATTATAAATCTAGAAAAGCCGAAACGTCTTATAATTTGGAGCGATGGCAGTATATAAGAAAGGAAACAACTCTGAAGTCAGAACATGGAATTATAATCGGGCCGCCCACTCAAGGTACCGAAGAACTACCGTCGTAGTCCGGTTTTACCCAAAACTAAATATTCTATATCCTATTTTTTTAAAACCAGTCAAAGTACTTCTTGCCCTAGTTTGGTGTGGTTTTGAAGTCAGTTTTATCCTTTTTTTAGTTATAAAAGAGTAAGTACTTGATAAGATTTTGAACCTATAAAAAATGTCTCTAAGCTTTAAAATTTTCATAAAAAATCTAGAGATAGATAGGAATATGACAAGTCCATCAATATATTTAGAACCTATGAAAATATCTCTAGATACTCTAGAAAAGTGGATTTAGCTCTAGGAAATGAGAAAAATATATTTTAAAAAATAAAGAAATTTCCCAAAAAACATTATAATTGATACATAAATATGTTTCGGAACTTTTTTTTGCAAGGAAAAGCATATAAGAAACGAGCACAAATGCATAGCATGAATACATTCAACATTAATGTATGTTGCATTTCATGTTCGTGCATCTCATATTTTTATCATCTAGACCACCGCGATCGCCGTCGCGCCCTCGGTGTTGAGAGAAGAGAGTCAAGCCAAGAGGGGTGAGAGTGAGAGAGAGCGATGAAGAGAGAGAGAAGAGAGGGTGAGAGAATGACAACGCAAACCCTAGTGTTGTGTTTATGTATGTGAGGTTGGCCCTTGGCCTGCTGGGCTTTGAGGCCTATTTTTTTGAGATGGGCCTCCTAAGGGGCTCGCCTATGAAAATAGGCTCCAATTCTAGAGACAATCCTATTAAGTGGCCTGCCTCTACAAATAGATTTATAGAGACGATTGATTTTAGACTATCTCTGTAAATAGAGTGCACACCTCTAAAGTTGACTTGATATTTTAGGAGACATGGACAATTTTAGACCATTTATGTAAATAAATAAGTTGTCTCCCCTAAAATCAATATTGTACTAGTGTTTCACTTATATCGGACCTAGCTTGCGTGTAAACTTTCTATGTATGTTCATGCCGATTGGATTTCGTAGACTTATTAAATATTTGTGTAACTTCACTCAGCTCTTTACACTTTTTAATTGACTCGATATAGATAAAAAAATTAATAGAGCACTTGAAATTAATTTGAGTAGTTAATGACATGACACTTGGAGTTCTGTTTGTACCAAGTTATCACTACTAGAAAACATAATATTCTTGAGGGCCAAAAACCATCAAGAAAGCCATGAAAACCGTCAAGGAAATTATTTCTATCGAACAACCCTCAAGGAAGGACCTCTAAGATTAGAGAGCAAGAAAATTTAATTACCTTGGAGGCAGCCGCCACAAATGATTTTCTTAGGAGTTTAGATGCCAAGGAAACAAAGACGAAGTCATGTTTTTCATAACGTCAAGGAAATATGACAACCACTAAGGGTATATATTTTCTTGAGGGCTGATGACCCTATGGTATTTCTACCTACCACCAAGGACATACACAGGAGAGGGGGGGGGGGGTCATTTGAAAAATTCAAAAAAAATTGAATTTCAAAACTCTGATAACTTAAAATGTAACTTTTGGACTCTAAATAATTTCAAATGAAAAGATCATCAAACACAAAGATGTAGATCTCTTCGAACTCTACAAATTTGATATAAACTTTGTCTTCATCGATAGGTTTCTGATGGTACGCCACCACAAAAATATTTTTCTGTCATTGTGGTAATTTTTCTGTATGTTTTCCGCCGATAAGGAAATTCACGTTTCCATTAGTGTAGACATCTCAAGCTAAGTGCTAATACGCATTCTCTAATGCATAACAACTCAAATTGTATCTTTTGTTGGATTGATGTACCAAGAAAAACCCGTATTTTATTCGACAAACATGTTAATGGAGCATTTGTGCCTATAAAATATAATGTCTAACTAACAAGCCTACAAAAGTCCATTGTATTAGTGGTTAAGAGGAATAATTATAAAATGAACATTTTTTCTTTGTGGCTGCAACAAATTACTTGAGGATTTGCATATAAGGAAACTAGCACTTCCTTGGCGGTTTCCAATTTCATCCAAGGAAATATGTATTTACTTTTTTGGTTTGTAATAATATTAAAGGAAATAAGGAATTACTTTGGCGGTTTGTAATAACACTCAAGGAAATATTAAATTACCTTGGCAGTTTGTTCTAGCACTCAAGAAAAGGTGGAAATACTTTGGAGGTTTGGGTTAGCACTAAGGAAATGCATTTCCGTGAAGGCTTCCTACAACCCCGGCCCAAAGGTAATAATGATGTATTCTTGAGTTTCAATTTTGCTCCTGAAGGAAAATATTGGCCGCCAAGATATTCTATTTGCATGGTGGCAGTGTATGGTTGCACGCCCATCAAGTAGAGTTAATCAGCCTGTTCGTTTGTTGGTTTCAGCCAGCCCAAACCAGCCAGCCAACAGTATTTTTCTCTCACAATAAACCAGCACCAGCCAGCCCAAACCAGTCCAGAAACCAACCAGCGAACATGCTAAATAAGGTGAACGAAATATTGCAGGTTGGTTCAAATATCACTGGAGACTTCGTTAAATCAAAGGACAACTATTTACCACGTGGTCAACTTATTTCCGTGGGCCTAACAATCTTGTGTTGCTTCTGCGCAGTTTCCAACAAATTAGTTACGTATTTAGTTTGGTTTCACAAACCTGTATCAGTTCTCTGGGAATCGTACGTCAGAGCAAACATTTTCATCAACATCTATAAAGTGTTACACACCGGTACAGGTGGTTTTGTAGTAGTGTACAACCGTGACATAAGGTATGATGATCAGATATTCATTCACCATTGCATCATGTATACACAAATAAATATTTAAAGATCTCTGTAAATGTTGCACAATTATTTTCACTGCCTCACGTGTTACACGTTTACACTCTCCAGAGTGATCGTAAGCTGATGAAGGCAGTAATCCATAAGAAAAAAACGATCTTTTACCTTGTCAAAGTCAAAGATCAAAAGGCATTTGGAGTAGCAATATTATTATTTTATCTGCCTCAAGCATGCACCCAGCAGCAGAGAGCAGGTTTATGCATTAGCTCCAAGACAGCGCGCGTTGACTGGCAGTTAGCCAACGCGCCACCACTGATGCAGTTCCCCAGCTTTGCATCCGCCATTCACACAAAGTTAGTAGGAAATGCCCTAAATAGTTTACTGTTTACCAAGCATGCATTAG